CCAGACTCTAAAATGGTGACCCAGTGCTCATGAGGGCTTATGTGGGATGATGTGCAAATCGCAGGTGCTCTGCAGACGGAACCGGATTTGTGTTCTAGTTCTACCACTTCCTGGCTGTCTAACCACGTGCAAATTAACTAAGTCTCGCTAACCTTAGTTGACTCCTCTGTGAAAGAAAGTAGGATGACTCTCCCCTTCACAGTGCTGAAGGCTAACTTAGACACCTAGAAAAAGTCTGGCACGTGCCAAGCACACAAATAGGCACTGAAGATATGCTACCCCCTTCACAATGCCTCCCTTCCTTCTATCCAAGTGGAACAGAAACCCCAGCACAGCAGATAACTGCCATGTACCTCATTAAACTGTCAGTTTCCCCAGGGCCGAGAGCATGTTTGACTCCTCTTTGAATCACAGAGCTTGTTAAATGGAGACAATCAGAATCCTTTAGGTCTGAGGATGTTAAGATTATCCCGGCCACAGTCAAAGAAAATTCTGATTTTCAGTTTGGCCAAATAGGCGCTTTGCTATAAACTACTACGTAGTTCAAAGCAAATAAGCTACTCTGAACTCTAATAATTACATTCTTTAAAATATAAAAACCCAATTGCCCTACAGCTCTCAATTTTAGCTTTGAGAATCCAATTCTTTCCTAAACAATGGCGTGGGTAACCACAGAAACTTGTGGAATCTCTTTTCCTAGAAAACATGAACAGGGGAGAAGCCAGTCTGTCTGGAAATTACTTCAAAATCCGTCTATAAGCAGGGGGTCAGGCTCGATTAGATGCCCCTCCGAGGATCCTTCCAGACCTACACCACTAAGATGTTAAGAGAAATAACTAAAATGATTCTCTGTCATTTACACCCAGGAAAATAAAATAAATACAATTTAACATTGCCTAAGTTGTTATTAGAAATGATTTTACTTGGACCGAGTAAGGCTTTTACGAACATTTTCTTCATAAATGGCACTAAACCATCCTAAGCTATTAATTTAAATATGAACTCTCCCTAACAAGACAGCATAGAGATTGTACTTAACCACCCAGAAAACAAGATTATTCTTCTTTTGTTCTTCTTTTTTAACCTACGTGTTTCCAGGTACCCCAATTTGCAAACACTACTTTCTCCCGAATACTCTACTAAACTCCCCCATTAATGAATGTCTAATGCATCCATTACTCACATATATTGCGTAGCTATTATATGTTGGCTTCTATTTGTATCTGTTTCACAAATAACAATTTTTGTTTCCCTAGCTGAAATGTACGCTCCTTGAGGAAGGTCCAAGTTTTGTATTTCTCATGTACTCCTTTATAGTGTCAATATTCAATTCATGACAAATGCTTACAAATCCATATTGAGTGGCTGATTTAAAAGGAAGAGACAAGCAAGAGCTATGAACATTGTGCACTGAGCACCTGTATGAAGCTTTGGCAAAGTCTAAAATAAAGCTTTTCACACTGCTATATATTGATATGACACAAACCGAAGACTAGAATAATGATTAATACACACAGGGGCCAAAGGGAAAGACCTAGAGTTAAAGGTCCCATTGGTTTAACTCCTGCCCTGTAAGGAATGAGGAACTGTCAAAGGAAGCCCCCTCACATCACAGGAGGAGGCTATTCGGGGAAGCCTAGCACACTCCCCACATCACAGGGCTGTGCAAGTTCTGATTCTACGTCAGGTCAACTATCCATTCGGTCAGGTCCAGTCAGACGGTAAAAAATAGAAAGAAAAGGAGCTTTAGAAAATTAAAATGTAGTAACATTATTTAAAATAAACATGTGAAACTTATGTCTTCTGATTTTTCATAACCCAAAGAAACATTTAAAACAAGACTAACGAGCTCTCGAGTTCAATCATTATAAGTGTGCTCAACAAACCTATAAACAGAGGAGTAGAACCCCTGCTCCTTTCTTTATAGATGAAACAGGGACTTCTTGTCCCTGCCACGGGCAGGTACTGTTCTAGGCACTGGCAATACAGCAGTTTACTAATCTCACAAGTCTGGTAACAATTATGTAAAGCCTTAGCCTAGTACTTTACAGAAACAAGAGACATCAAGGATAGTCTAAATCTCTTATCTTAGAGGGAAAAAACCAAGGCCCAGAGAGGTTAATGACCATATTTCCCCATGTATAAGATACACCCTTTTTCAAAAAATTTGGGGTCTACAAACTGGGTGCGTCTTATACAGTGGTTGCATGAGCGCCAAAACAAGTGCGAAAAAAACGGGAAATGCAAGTAAAAAAAAAATCTACAACCACTGTATAAGATGCACCCAGTTTTTAGACCCCAAATTTTTCGAAAAAGGGTGCGTCTTATACATGGGGAAATACAGTAACTTGCCTCAGCTGGTCATGTGGCTATATGGCAACAATGGCAGTAGTTGAAACAAAGATTCTTATATCTCCTCTAGTAACAAAATGTATGTATTCATTAAGCAAGTATTTCTGTATGCCTATTCTATACCAGACACTATGCTAGGCACCAGGTATGCAAAAATGGATAAGATACCGACCCTGTCCTCAAAAAGCACTGTAACTACAAGACAATGACATGAGTACAATAATAGAAGTGGTGACAGAGAGAAAAAGCCAATTATGTCTCTAATTGCGTAGGACTTCCAATACTTCAGAAGAAAATGAACTGTTCATTGTTTGTTTTATCCTCACCATAGCCCTATGAGGACAGAGCACAGATCTTATTTTTCCTGTTATATAGACGGAGAAATTGAAATACAAAGCGGATAAAGGGAGTCTATTAAGGTCATCTCTAGTGGCAACAAAATGCCTAGAAACCAAGTCTGTTTACTCCTAGACATTTTTTTCCCACTAGATAGGAAAGGCAGATGTTCTTTTTCTGTCCAATTCCCTTCTGACCAAGAGCACATATTTGCAAGACTGTGTGCAGAACAATCTGTGGCTGTGAAACGAGGCCTGACTCTGTGGAGACTCATCAGCTGAGTTTACCCGATGGTTCAGTAACCGACCAACAGGGCACCATTATTACTATAGTGTTCTTCAAGTGCCTGCTATGTATACACTGAATAGATGGAAAAGGTTCTGTCCTCAAGGGGTTAATACTGGAGGGAACAGGCATTTAAACATTTCAACAGAACGGGGCATAATTAAACAAACTACAACTAGAAGAACCATCACACATAATAGCAAATTTAAGACACTAAAGGTTTTGCAGAGCAACTCTAGCAGGTGCTGCCAAGAAATATATTCTTTAAGGGTTAAACAGAGAACAGAGGCCTTGTATGCATAATGATATATACCAATCTTCAGATTATTGAACTAGAGAATCTTACCAAAAATGTTAATCACATTCAAAAATTAGCTTCTTAATTCCTTCATTTCACTTTTAAACTTTACTCAAAACAATTATATGAATATTCCATTTCCCTCTTTCTAGGAAAGTCATATATTTGTAACCTTTCCTATCTAAGAGTAATGAGCTAATAATAGAGGTTCCCATCATCCGCATGCCTTGGACAAAAAGATTAAAACAGTGTGGTTTCATTGTGCTATTCTTTTACTCTCCTTCAGAAGCAACCTAAATGAAATGAAATGAATCTGATAATTTTCTTGTACATAGTAAAATTTATATATATAACCAGGAATCACTTCATAAAAAGTAAAAGAGGAAAAAGCATTTCTTCATTTTCATGTTCTGATTTACACATTAATTTACTCGTTTGATAAGCTCATATCACATTTTATTTATTCCACTATTTATCATGGCCTTATACCATGACCAAACTGTTTTAAACTTCTTAGCATTTGTAGAAGTATTAACAAAATAAACAAAGCTAAGGAAAAAAAAATATAAGTGATTTCAAACTACTAACAGGAAGAATTTCTTTAGGAACCAGCTAAACAGTGAAAATTATATTCATCCTTTCAAAGGAATGTTATCATTATTTTAAAAATACAACTTGGTTAAAATAAGCCTCTCTGGTATTTCCTGAATATACTCAGGGAATTCATACTTATAGCCAGTTGCTTTCCTTTTAAATATTTATTGAATTTTATAGGGTGATAAGTAGCAATTTAAATGACAATTCAGAACTACCACTAGGTTTCCTTAGAATTACCCATAGTGCATCATAATATTATTTCATGATATTTTCTAATTTCCAAAACTCAGTTCCATTACAAGAAAATATATTTTAAGAAACAAAAGCTTAAAACCTAAAGTTAAAAGTGTGATTATAAACTTTTTTAGGTAGAAGAGGAATAGAGCCCGATTTATCTCAAGATCAAGAGAAAGACCACTGGGTCAATGAAGAAATTAATTAAACATGCAGCGACAGTGACATCTAGTGTTAAGAAACTATTCAAAGCTTCTCTTCTTTAAAGAGACCAACAAACAGAACTTGAGCACAGTATCTAAAAATTACCCATAGTCAAAGTATTTCAATAGGTTTCCTTCCAGACATTAAAAAACCTTAAGAGAAAAACATCTTAGAGAGTAAACAAAACACTGAAGACCTAAAAGTGAAAAGCATTGTTTATTCCGTGTTGCCAACATCTGTAACTGCTCCCCCTTGGTTGACAGAGTTTAATGCAAAAATAATCTGGGACATGTTCTGATGACTGTATCATAAACGTTTAAACTTCCAGCTATAAAAGCAAATATAATGCACAAGTTTTTACTTGATGACACATCAAGAAAAAAGCAATTTAGGGTATTTCAGGAATACCTGAAGAAGGTGCACAGGAAAAGAAAAACTTTTTTAGCTGTGGCACTGAGGACAAGCTCTACAATACAGCCCTTACTCCCTTGCTGTATTTTCATTGGTTTGAAAGGTCTCATTAAACAGTAGATACTTTTGCCCAAGGACTTAGAATTTGGCAGCATAGGTTAATTTACTATAGTGTTTTTATAGTTTTATGCTCTAGATGAACCTATAAAAGTAAGCAAAATTCCAAAAATTATTTTTGGCCAGCACGTTATTTTATAAAAAGTTAGCATTAGATGGGGCTTACGTGTTTTTTTTGAAAAGTTCATCCTTTCCCCTTTTAACTCCAAATATTCTTGTGATCAAGGTACTGAAGAGAAGTGTGGATGAATTTCTCACCTAATGTAAAAATAAACACACAATAAGGGTTAAGAGATATTCATGGCATGAAACCAACATTTACAGTGTTCAAACTAGACATTCAAAATCATTACCCAATTGCCTAGTATGGGGCAAAAGAAAATATGGTTTGTGTTCATAAGACAATTTTCAAAAACTTCACAGTAATTGACTCAATGATTTCCTCTTAAACTGAGCTCTACAATCCAACCACATGCACACAACATACCTCTTTCCTGTACTCATATGACCATGAATTGTTTTCATTATCTCTTTGTACTTGTATCATCAAATAACACTTCTTTAAAAAAAACTCAATAAATCATTTTTCCATATCCTTTCTGACAATGAATATCCCAGTAAAGAGCTCAGCTCTTTTCATTTATTTCCTGTAATCGTTTGCCTATAAGAGAATATTTATAAAGCCTAACTAAAAGAACCCATGTTATTAATATGGCCAAGATAATATTTAATATCCTAAATGTTATTTATTAATGCCACAATGCCAGTAACCTAAAAAAATAATTTGAACTCTAAAATTATCTGAGACAACTGGTTAATAAAAATAAAAGAACTATCATTAGTAAACATAAATTTCTTCAAAATGATAAAAGAATATATCTATTTCCAAACCAATGTAACAAGATACTTTGCTATATCATGAAAATGTCTTCAATGGCATATTGGGCTTCCTCAATAACCTTGCCAAATCAGTGCAGAGATGTACAAATAGGTAGTAACTTCCCTACAGTGTGCGAGGCACTATACCAGTACCATGGAGAATATCCAGACATAGAGGACACATACTTCCTGCCAACACAGAGCTTATATTCTAATTAGACAGGTGTCATAACCATATGGCAATATAAGCAGCAATATAAGAAGTAATTAAAAAGTGACAATGTAAGATTTAGAAAATAGCTTCCTAAAACTGCAATGAGAGTCACAAGCTCAAATGCCCACAAGGACCAGTAAGTGAGAAGGGCAGCAGGGGGCGGGGTCTAATGAAGTCATTATTCAGCTTCAGTTGAGTTGTAGCCATGAGGGAATGTAAGCCCAGTATTGCCAGATTTTCTTCTTTTTCAAGAGAAGCCAGAAACCCCAATTTTTATGTGAAATCTCACTATTTTGAAATATTGGCAACAAATTAAAAAAAACATTGCGGAGGCCAAATAAAACACAGTTGTAGGCTAGATGTGACCCATCAGTCCCCAGCAGGCAACCTCTCCTCTAGATGCCCAAAGCTGACTCAATATATGGATGGTAACTCTAGAAGTGGGCTATCCATACTTTGGCACAATTCATACAAAAATTGCAATGAAATCCTAACATTGGATGAATTCACTTGCGTAACTCACAGCAGCCCAGCTCCAGGTCGAGCTGTTGTTCGCGATCTTAGCTGTAGAGGGCGCAGAGTCAGTGGCCCTCATGTGGGATCGGAACTGGGGCCCTGCTGCTCAGAGCTGGCATCCCAAGCTAACTCTTAACCAATGCGCCATTCAGCTAGCCCCATCATTACCTTTTCCAGTAGGTATAGCAAAATGGTGATAATCTACCATTAGTTAGTTATCATTTTCAGAAGAACTGCTATAAAAAAAATAGTTTCCCATCATCAGCTATTTGGTTACCCTGTTATGAAGTTAGTGCAGAATTTTTTCCACAAATTTACCAGCTTGCAGAATGAGTTCATGCCATAGCAACCTCCAAAGGTGACCAAATGATATTTTAAGACATTTTTTAAAACTAATTTTCCTTGTATTGAGATATAACTCACATACCATAAAAGTCACCATTTTAAAGGGTACTATTCAGTGGTTTTAGTATATTCAAAAAGGACACTATCACTCCTACCCAATTCCAAACTATTTTCATCACTCCAAAATGAAATCCTACTCCATCATCCCTTAGTATCCATGGGGGATTGGTTTCAGGATCCCCAAGGACACCAAAACCTGAGGATGTTCAAGTCCCTTATATAAAGTGGCATAGTATTTTGAATATGCTATAAAATATACGCTATGCCCACACATCACTTCATTCATGTGGATTCAGCATAGTGCTTGACATGTGGCAAAAACAAGTTTTGATTTTTGAATCTTTCTGGGATATTTTTTCCCAAATATTTTCGATCCACAGTTAGTTGAATCCGTGCATACTAAACTCATGGATACAGATAGCCAGCAGTACACATTAGTAGTCATTCCCTATCCTCCTGCACTAGGCAAGCACTAATCAACCTGCTTTTCGTCTCTATGGATTTGCCTATTCTGGACATTTCATATTTGTGAGATCATGTAATATGCAGCTTTTATGTCTGGCTTCTTTCACTTAGCTGTTCTCAAGGTTAACCTGTGTTGTAGCATGTATCAGCATATCATTCCTTTTTATGGCTGAATGATATTCCATTGTATGGATATACCTCATTCTTAAAATATACTCATCATTTGATGGACATTTAGGGTATTTCCACTTTTTGGCTATTATGGATAATGATGCTATAAACATTCACATACAAGTTTTTGTGTGAACGTTTTCATTCTCTTGGGTATACACCCAGAAGTGGTACTGCTGGATCATACGGTAACTCTATGTTAACCTTTTGAGGAACTGCCAAAGCAACAGTAGCATTTTACATTCTCATCAGCAATGTATGAGGGTTTCAATTTCACAAATTCTGTAAATCTTCCACAATACTTATTACTGTCCATCTTTTTGATTACAGCTATCCTGGTGAGTGTGAAGTGGTGTCTTTTTGTAGTTTTGATTTGCATTTCCTTAATGAGTAATAATGTTAAGCATCTTTTTCTGTGCTTATTGACTATATATCTTTTGGAGAAATGTATTCAAATTCCTTGTCCATTTTTAATTGGGTTGTCTTTCTATCATTGAGTTGTAAGAGTTCTTTATGTGTTCTGGATACTAATCAAGTGTGTGATTATCAGATATATGATTTGCAAATATTTTCTCCCACTCTTTCAGTGATCTTTTCATTTTCTTGATGGTATCTTTTGAAACAAAGACAATTTAAATATTGATCAAAGTCAATAATTTATCTTTTTTCTTCTGCAACTTATGCTTTACGCATCATATTCAAGAAACCGTTACCTAACACAAGATCACAAAGACTTACATTTAATGTTTTCTTCTAAATGCTTTATTGTGTTAGCTCTTACAGTTAGGACTTTGATCCATACTGACTCAATTTTTGAATATGTTGCAAGACAGGAAGCAAATTCATTCTTTTGCATGTGGATATCCAGTTGTCCCAGTACCATTTGTTGAATAGACCATTCTTTCTCCCACTGAACTGTTGTGGCACCTTTTCTGTACTAAATGTTAGGTTTTATTTATGGACTCTTAATTCCATCCCTTTGAATAAAACATGTCTATCCTTACGTGAGCACCACACTAGATTACTGTTGCTCTGTTGTAAGTTTTCAGAATTTTTCACATGTGAGTAAGTTTCAACTTTTTCACATGTGAGTCCACCATCTCTGGTTTTTTTTAAGATTGTTTTGGCTATTCTAAGCCTTTTGCATTTCCATCTGAATGTTAAGCTCACTTTGTCAATTTCTGCAAAAAAGTCAAATGAGATTTTAACAGAGATTATATTGAACCTGTAGATCAATTTGGGGAGTACTGTCATCTAAATACTAAATCTTCCAGTCCATGAACATGAAATATCTTTCCATTTATTTGTTACTTCTTTAATTTCTTTCAACAATGTTTTGTAATTTTCAGTGTCTTACACTTCTTTTGTTAAATTTATTCCTAAGTATTTTATTCTTTTTGATGTTATAAGTGGAATTGTTTTATTTTTTTGTTTGCTTTTTTTGTTTTGTTTTGTTTTGTTTTGTTTTTAGCTGAGCCATCCTGCCACCTTTTGGCAGCTCAACGGCTGCTCAGCTCAGGCCAGGACTCAAACCGCTGTTGCTCAGAGCTCAAACTCTTAAGCGAGCTCTTAACCAACTGAGCCACTCGGCCGGCCCTTGGAATTGTTTTCTTAATTTCACTTTTGGATTGCTCATTGCTTGTGCATAGAAATACAAATGACTTTTGTATATTGATCTTGTGTCCTTAAACCCTGCTGAACTTGTTCTTTCAGCAAATGGTTTGTGTGTGTGTGTGTGTGTGTGTGTGTGTGTGTGTGTGTACACGTGTGTGTATTCTCTAGGATTTATTATATATAAGATCATGTCATTGAAAAACAGAGATAGTTTTGCATCTTCAAAAATCAGCAATTTAGCTGATTTTTATTTCTTATTCTTGCCTGGTTGCCCTACCTACAACCTCCAGTACAATGCTGAATAGATGTGGCAAGAGTGGATATCCTTGTCCTGTTCCTGATCTCAGGGGGAACGCTTGCAGTCTTTCACCATTAAGCACATTGGTAGCTATAGGTTTTCCACTGATATCCTTCATCATGTTTAGAAAATTCCCTTCCATTCCTAGTTGGTTGAATGCTTTTAATATGAAATGGTGTTGGATTTTGTCAAATGCTTTCCCTGCATTTGCTTAAATAATTATGTGTTTTTTGTCTTTTAGTCTAGTCATATGGTATATTACATTAATTGATTTTCATATGTTGAAAAATATATACTGTATATTTTAAAAGTATAGAAATTATAAAGCATAACATTTAAAAGAGTTATTGTGAATGTAGAGCAAAATAACTAGCATGGAATACTCATTACTTAAGATAGAAGAATATCCCTGTTTCTGTGAGATAGTATAAATGGTTCATGGACTTCTGTTTCAGGTACTCCTTTTTATTTTCTAATATTTCATCCATATTTTCAGTCCCTGTCCACTACAAAGCTAATAAGGAGAGAAATCAAGTAGAAGTACAATTGAGAAAGAGGCTGTGACTGACTGACAAACTGAATTATCAACTCCTAAATCCTTGATAGTAAATGCTAATGTGAGTAATTGATGCTAAATCTTAATGTGGGTAATGAAAACGGTCATTAATGGTGCTAATATATTTTGAAAAACTCATC